AGATTCAACTTCTTCTTTTTTTAATGAGTGAATGAAATAATAAGTACTCCAATTTCTTTCACAACAAAATGACAAGCAAGTTTGTACAAGAAACTTCAATGCTAACTTTTGAAGTAAAGGGACACCAGAACCATGCATCACCCATCAAAATTTGAGATTTAATATTCAATGTCCTTCTATCGAGTCAAAAGAGTCAAAACTATTTGACTTTAATAAAAAAGTTAGTATATTTAAGTACAACATTTCTTCTATCTTCACTAGTTGTAAAAAAATTTTTCAAACACTTATTTCTCTCCTTGGAAATCTTTTAATCTTCACTTGGTGAGATTCTATTTGGAGTCTCTTGAATCCATTTTTTATCGTAATATCTATAATTAAAAATTTTAAAAAAAATTATATTCTAAAACTTTCTAAATAGTTTTATATATAAGTTATAAAAAAGCGAGTATTGATAAGATAATTTTACTTGGGATTCAAAGAGTGAGTCATGCAATAAAGCGGAGTGCAACTTTTAGTCCACATATCAATTAGTATACCATAAATAATTTAATAAAATATTGATATATTATTATTTTTTTCTTTCTTTTCTTGTCTATAAATGATCTGTTTTCACCTTTTCTATCATAGTCTCCCGCATCTCATAGATCAAGTGAAATGTGTGATTGTATGTATCACAAACTCTGAGCATGTTATATATAAGTTCAGTAAAAGCTATAATTATGCAATTTTGTCCCCACATATATCATTTAAAAAAAAATCTTTTATCATTTGCGCCTTACTCACATCATCTTCTCTATAGGAATTCCATTCTTCACTAATAACCATGCATTGCAAAGAATGTTATAAAAAATTAAATCTTTACATCATTATTATAAGATATGCAAAATGTGTATCCACATCAGCAAGCAATTTCAAATATGAGAAATTATTAAAAATGGTCAATCTATAGAGTGATTCATGATAAAATTTCAAATGAAAGAAACATCATCAACAACTTAAATGATCCAACTACGTTCACTATAAACAACATCATTTTTTTTTCTGTATTTGTTGTTGCACATATATTCTTCAAAGCCAGATTCAATGTGTGCACAGTACAAGGTGTCCAAAAAACTTTAGGAAATGAACCTTCAATAATCATTCTAACACCTTTGCATATAAGAGCATTATTTGTTATAATTTGTACAACATTTTCTTCCCCTAATTCTTTAACAACTTCAACCATTCTATCAACTATGTAATACTTACTTGTTATTTTATCATAAACATCAACAACTTTTAAAAATAACGGAGGCCCCTCACTAGTGGCCATAAAATTAATCAGAGGTCTTCTTAAGGAATTTGTCCATCCATTAGAGATTATTTTAACCCATTTTTTGTTCCAGGTTGATTTAATTGGTTTCAGTAACCTTTCAACATGTGATTTCTTTTGTTATAAGAGTGTTGTCCTCAAAGAATTCTATCTAAGAGGAAGAAAACCATTAAGATTATGATTTGCAGCAAATAAATATGAATTCACATAATAAGAGTTTCTTACAAGATTAAAAGGCAACGTAAAAGAATAAAACATTATAACTATAAGAGCTCTAAGAGTGTGTCTATTTTCTAAGTTCAAAGTTTTTTTAAGAGGACCACTTTTTCTCATTTTTAAGAAATTATTCTTATGTCTATCTTCGGTTGGTAAGGAAACATACTCACGATTTAATCTATTTTTAGCCAATTCAACAATTAATTTTAATTCAATCAAATATTCATCAGACTTTTGAGCACACACCAACTCTTTTTCCATAAATCTTCAATAAGTGGACTTTTATTCTAAAGTATGAACTTACAAAAGATTTTTAACAAAAATTATAAGACCATCTCTTATTTTCACCAACTTTTATTCTTTTTTCTATTAAAGTAACATAGGCTCGAGGAGCATCATAATCTTGCTCATGATTATTTGAAAATAACTTACTTGAACTTTTTTAATTGGAATTAGAAGGATTTGGTATTGATGCTGATATTTTGAATAAAACATTAATAATAAATAACAAAATAAATAATTAAAATAAATAATATTTAAAATAATAATTTTATTTTTAATTTAATAATACTTTCTAATAATTTAACTAATTAAAAATTAAAATAAAATTTGATATTTATAATAAAAATAAGATATATTTAAATTATCAAGTTGAATTAAATTTATAAAAAATAAATAACATAAAATAAAAATAAAATTTGTATCTTTGCATAATTTTTAAAAAGTAAAATAGTTATAAATAATATTATTCATAGTTAAAATTAATATTTTATCTAATTATGATTTTTTATTTTATTTTAATTAAATATTTAATTTGAAAATAAATAAATTATTTAATTTAAAATTTTTACATTAAATTAAATTATTATGTATATTGTAATCATATATAATATTTATTTAATAAAAATATAAATTTATTAAAAAATAATAAACATATTAGTATTGATATAAAAACTATCACTACTAAAAATTCTCATTTTTTATGGGAATATTTTTGCAAATTTTTTGTAAAAATTGTAAGAAATAAATTTTTCTATAAATTTAAACAATTTTTTGCAAAAAAATTGGCAGAAAAAAATTAGTTTTCTAGTAGTGTATAATTTATCTTAATTATTTAAATTATTAATAAAAAATTATTTAATTAAAAATTCAAACTATAAATAATTATTAAATAAAATTAATCTAAAAACATAATATATGTTATTAATAATATATTATATATTTTGAAATCCAAATATATTCAACTAAAATTTATAATGATACCTATCCACCCAATCTCAAACTATAACATGTTGCACACATCAAGAAAGAGGAAACAAATCAGTGATGGAGAGTCTGTTGCATACACAAATAGAGTAGAAACAAACATTGTGATAGAGAGAGCGAGAAGAAACCAAATTACCAAAAGAAATCAAAAGAGGAGAAACAAGTTGTGATGTAGTAACAACAACGTGGAGCTACTAGCTCTTAAAACAATAAAATGCCAACGAAAACAACCACTAGAAACATATTTGTTGTTCTATTTTTATTTTTGTTTGAATTTTTTTTTCGATTCTTTTTTAATACGAATTTTTGTAATATCGGGTTGTATCAGTATCGCATACATCAATGATACGGGTACGTTGGTCTCACCAACGTATCGATGCATCAGAGTTAGCAAATTTACTTTCTTTGTTATTTTTCACACAAAGTTTGTAACTAAATGAGGACTACATAACAATAAGAATTTTATTAATATTTGTCACAGGCTCAACAACAATAAGGAGCACCAGAGGTTTATGAAGCAAACAAATTTTCTTAAGAAAGTTCTCACATTTGCCATATCAGGTGCATCCCAAAACAAAAGTCTAAATATATGATCAATTAGTAAACCTTCTTAAAGGGTGTTCCCCTCTTTTTTTGAGATACAATTTGGAATGTCCCCTTTTCAACCGTTTCTATTTTAGAACCATTAACTTCCTCCTCAATGTAGTCAATCCATGACTTAGAAATCTTTTATGTATCTTCCCTCATAACCTTAGGAGGTGGAGATTGTGACTGTTGTACTTCATTTAGTAATTCAGATACTTCAATTATTTTATCTAAACTAGAAGAACCATTATTTAAGTTGGTTTGTTCAGAAACAATACTGTAATTGTGAATCAGATTTGGTTCGCAGTAATGACAGTGTGAGACTACAATTCAAATACAAATAATTATTTTTTACCTTTAGTATCCAAACCGGATGAACCAATAATGAATTTTTCATGCATAAGAACACTAATATGATTATGAATATGATCAGGTTCAATATTTCTAGTCTTTTCCCGATTTAGAGTTATATTAGTACTTGTTGATTGACTTGCAACTCTTGAGTTCGCTGGAGAGACAAGTCATGAAGAGCTTCACAATCATTATCCATTAGAATTGTCATTATATTCTGCACATATTGTCAATCTTATGTTTTTTCACCCATGATTTCTGCACTTTTTAAGTAGTTTCGCCACATCCCACCTCAATAGTTAATTCATTCTTTGAGTTCTTTCTACAATTCTCCAATGTATGACCAATCATCATGCAAGACTCACAAAGGTATGGTAGTCTCTCATATTCTATGTCAACAAAGAAAGCATACCCTTGCCTCTCAACTAGAATCATATTAGGAATTTATGAAGCATTTCAACATCGATCAAGATTTGTGCAAAGATGTCTCTTAAATAGTTGACAACACATTCTTCAAGCATTAAAGGGTTACCAACTCCTCTAGCAATGGAGAAGAGAATATTTGGCCTCTAATATTCAAGTGGTAAACCATAGATACGTATCCAACATTGAGTTTTCATGATTTTAACCATTTTAGGGATAAAATCAGAGCTTCAAGCAAAAGTGTGCAAAATACCCAAATTAAGATACCAAGTTGTTCTTACCTATTGGAAGATCCTCCATGGAAAGAAGAATTCATAAGAACCTTTGCTAATAGAGATCGATGACCAATTACTTAAGTATGTTTCTCATTAAATAATTTTGACTTGTCACTATAACATAAATAGTTTTTAACAACACCGTTTAACATCGATTATAAAGGAATAGATATAGAAAATAAGTAATGACAAATTTGTAATTTAGGACAAGTTTTCTACATCGATTGTATTGTAACCGATGTAGAAAGTTACATTAAATATTGATTGTATTGTAACTGATGTAGAAAGTCCTTTATAGTTCTGCAAAACATTTCTCTCATTTTACGAAACAATTATTTTTCTTTTTCTTTTTCCTCTCTTTTATACCTTAAAAGCCTTAAACATTTTTTCTCTTTTATGAAAAGATTCCTCTTCTTCTTTTTCGCCTTCACCCTTCGTCGCCCCCTCAATTTCCATTGTGTCCTCTATCACTTCCTTAACTTTCATCGCACCTTCCACCGCGTCTCCATATCACCCTCCACCATATCTCCTTTGCAGTCTCTATTGCATCCTTGTCTCCTCCATCTTGTTCAATGCATCATTTGTCGCATTCTCATAATCTTCATCGTGTCCTTTGTTGCATACTCAGGTCTTTATCGTTGCCTCCGTCATGGCCTCATGTCCTTTACTGTGTCCTCATAGCTCCATCGTATCCTCTTATGCCTTCTCATAGCCTCTATCGCATCCTCCACTACGTCATCTTGCCTTTTGGCATAACCTCTATCCTATCCATGCGCCCTCGCTCTTCACCGTATCTTACCCTCTATCATTCTCCCCTTGTAATGTCACTGTCCATCATTATTTTATACACTACTATAGTTTTATCCTTTGTCATGGTCTCGTCCTCTTATATGTTGTAGTCTCAATTGTTGTCGTCCAGTTATTGTAATTGTTATTTAAATATTTATTTTTTAACTTATTAAAAATTAAAAATTATATATTATTTTAGACTATTTTATATTTATTTGGAACTATTTTATATCTGATTGATAATTTTGATATTTGTTTTTTTATTGAATTCTATTTACAAGTGAGAAATGTCACATAACAACAAATATTTTAAAAAAACAAAAATCAACTTTATACATTGGTTGTAAAAGTAACGATGTTGAATGTCTACACTTTCAACATCGATTCTTTTATAACCAATGTTGATTCTCTTAACTTTCAATGACACCTCCTTCAATAGCAGTTTAAGAATCGATGCCATATATACTCTAAAATATGTGTTAAATATTGTTATTGTATCATATAAGGTCATATAGGATCTTCGTTTATAAGCTCTAGGTCCATTTTGAATATGGATGGCTTGTATCGATTTGATTGATCTTGTGGCATACAATTACTTGCTTTAATTGGTTTGACAAGCATGAGACAATATGTGTTCATCAACTAGTCTAATGGTCATCAATTGTTGCATTATTCATTAGCTAGTCCATGAATATCACTTGAAACATTGTCCAATAGATTCGTCTAAAATATTAATTGATGTGTTGATCACTAGTTAGTTTGTTCGGTCATTGACTTAATATTTTCACTCATTCTTATAACACACTTATCACACATGTTAAATACTTCAAATTCTAATCATATTTTTATTATTAAAATTATGGATAAGGTCTTTGATTCCAACCATATCCCCTTTTGATGAAATAAATAATAAATTTAGTTTTGACATCAACCTCAAGCTTTCCACACTTCCAATACTAGGGCTAATGGTCTTTTTTTATTAACCTAAAACATAAAATTTTTGAATTGAAAATTTACCTAGTTTGATCTTATACAAATTATCTTATCTCTTAAAAAAAAATATGTTTAACACTTTTATATTTTTAGTATATATTGATCTTTATGAAAAGAAAAATTATATTCATTATCATACATCTATATTTTATACCATCAACTAATAAAACATTTTTAATAAAAAGAGTGGAATGAATACTTATACTCCCAATTTCAACTATTCTTTCTTTTCTTTATTTATAGCACTAGGAGTATACATCTTTCTTTTGTCATATGTTGAAAACAATTACTATTCATGTACCATGACTATTTTCTGCCTATTCATAAACACATTTGTCAAGAAATTATTTTCTAATTAGGTATTCATATTACTTTGGGTCATTTAGAGTTAGTCCTCAGTGATTTGGTCATCTTAGGAGGAGAGTGATCATAAACATTGGTATTGGAATTTTTTTTTAATAGTTGTTATTTCGTGACTTTGATTATAACCTATTCATGTTTTATATTTTGAAAGATAATAATGGAAGTGTAACTTTTTATTTATATAGTATATCAATATTTATATTATAAAATTTTATTATCATAAATATTTTCAGTAAATTATCTATATTTTTATATAAAATCTAGAAAAAAATACATAAATATTATATTTTATTAAAATTAAAAAAATTATACAAGAAAAATTGTAAAATCAAACAAATAAAATTTCAAAGCTTCTTAAATATATTTCTAATATCCTCCACAAAATTGGTTTTTTTAAATTACAAAAATTAAACATGAACTTAAAATATTAATTCTAATTTTGAAAATTATATTAAACAATTTTAAAATAAACATAAAAACCACCCAAATAATTTTAATCAGATCTAATTTTAAAAATAGAAATTAAAGTATAATAAATATTACGTAATAAGATATTTATACTAATATTGAATAATTTTTAGTTAAGTTCCATTATTTTTTAAAAATAATATAAGAATATTCAATACTAAATTATATTATATATTTATTTAATTTAAATTTTTTATATTATTTTAAATTTAAAATTAATTATCTCATATTTAATCATATACTTTTAATCTATTTTATAAAAACATATAAAAAAAACAATTACATTACAAATTTTTAAATGATTTTTACAATTTAATGTTATTCATAAATTATTATACAATAAATCTTAAAGTATAAATATATTTATAAATATTAAAAGTTGATGTTCAATTTATATATAAATTAATTTTATTTATTTATCTATATCTATTTTATTAAATAAATACATTATATTAAATTATAACTTAATTTTAATTTATATTTATTTTAATTAAAATTACATAAAGATATTTTGATAATTTGTTAATTTATTATTATTTAATATTTTTAATTCATCAAATCAATCTTATTCATTACAATTTTTCACTCATTTCTCCTTATTTTCTATTTTCTTTCTCTTATTTCAAATGATTCATTCCACTTCTTTTTCTCGTTTTATACTCTCCAAATTCACTTCTCAATACAAACACTTGTTAAATGTTTTGTTGGGATTTTTTTAACTCTTTAAAACTGTTTTGGGATTGACCTTTGATTAATAATAAGTTTCACTATTTTTAACTTGAGATTGAGGATTGTGGACTCTCAAGACCAATTTGGGATCAACCTGTCACTAATTTTAATGATATGTTCATAAAATATATATTACACATTTCATTTAAAAATACATTAAATAAATGTTAAAACTGGAATGAATTAATTATAATAATGAGTTTTTTTAATTATCATTAAATAATAGACATTTGGATTACCCAAACAATATTAAAACAACAAATTATTTATTTAAAACAATTAAAATATTCCTTTTACTTCATTTTTCATTTGATTTGATTTTTAAAAAATAATAAATCTCATAAATGCTATATATAAAAACACAAAATTAAACGTTTTAATTAAAAAGTGGAAATTAAAAGGACCATCGAAAATTATATTTTTCTTTTCCAGTCTATTTTATTTTGAAGAAGCATGGACTTAATAGATACGATGAACTAGAATAAAAATTTCCCAAATATTGAAGCGTTGTTTGGTAAGAAAACTGAACTCTGATTGGTCTTTCAAATCCTTTTCAGAGTTTATCAAACCCAATGAAATAGTGCAGGTCTCGTTCACGTGCTTCACTGGTTAAACGCAAAGGCCATCGATCAATCCATGGATTGCACTGCCAAATCCTTAGCCTCTACGAAGGTCCCATGAAAACCGTAAGGAACTCGGTTTGGCAGCATCACTGTTGCCTCCAACTTCAGGTCCACACCATTCAAAATCTGCAACTCAGACTGCCACGTTACCTCGTCATGCACCAAAGCCATAATGAACCCTTCGTCTTCGCTTCCTCCACGTGTGGGCAAAAAGAATGGCTCTCCACCGTACCTCCTGTCCCCATACTGGTGTTTCCTCACCTCCCCACTCACCAGGTCCACCTTCGCCAAACCAGACACCTTTGGCCACGGTTCAGCAATGCCCAGATACACGAACTGGGTTTTCCTCCCGAGCCGGTTCCGGTTCACCATTCCGACCTCCAGGTTCATGTTCGGAACCAAATCGCGGCGAGTCGACGCACCTGTTCTCAGGTTCAGCCTTATTTCGGTTAAGATGGTTTTTAGACTTTCCTCGCAATCGTTGAAAACTGAATCCGGTGGCGTCATGCATGGACCGATTATCACCACTTCGTCTGTGTCTCCTTCCTCCCATGCGTTACAGAGGTGGAAGCAAAAAGTGTTCGGCGATTCCACCCACACTATGCTCGATGGATCCGAGGCGTATTTTGGGAGAACGCCGAACCGTGATTTCTTCTTGCAGTCGTACATCACGGGCGAGCCTCCTTTGAACATTTTGCCAAGGTTGAACACCACTTGCTGGTCAGGGATCACCACGAAATTCTCCGTGATCGCAAAGTCATGCGTCATTGTTGGAATATCCAGGAGAATTTGGACATCCGGTGACTTCACCTCCTCCGGCGAGAAGTTAAAGTACTTGAGGCAGGGGCTGGTAATGTCGTAGCTTAGGGAGAAAAGCTCACCGGAAATAGGATCAATTTTAGGATGCGCGATCATAGAAGAATCGAGTTGGTCATTGAAGCTGTAACGACCTATTGTTTGAAGGTCGCCTGAGGCAGTGATTCGGAGCTCGTATGGGAGGTCGTCTTCGGACATGGCGAGGAGTTTTCCGTTAAAGAAAACGAGGCCAGCATTGGCGGCGCCGGCGCCACAACGGTGGTCAACGATGCCGCACAAACCTCGGGCGTAAAAGAGGAGAAGCCTGGCGATGCCGGTATAACCATGGAGTTGGCCGATTGCTTTGGGGAACACGGGTTTTCCCAATTGGCGTTCTTGCATGAGCCTCTGCGTTTCAGTGAAGCGGCAAGCGTAGCTTGCGGTGCCGTCATTGATTTTAACGGCGTGGACCATGCCATCACCGTCGAAAAAGTGGTGTCCGGATTTAGGCTGGAACAATGGGTTGGCACCGTTACGAAGATAGACGCCATTAACATCCTTGGGGATGGTGCCGATGATGGGTAGGGAATGTTGGACGGGGTGTTCGGGAACAGGAGCGAAGTTTCCGGCTATTTGGACATGTGGGTCCGTGGTTTTGGGGAGAGGTTGTTGGAGCTCGCGGGAAAGCAAGGCGGTCTCGAACATGTCGAAGACCACTGCTGCAGTTTTCTGGAATGGGTTCCACTCAGGCCTTTTGGAAGAGTCCGTCGTCACGGTGGAGGTGGTGGCTTCTTTCGTAATTTTGGGTTTGTTTAAGGGTTTTGGGAAATGGATCACTGGGGGAGAATGTGGAGCACAATTCACCACCTTCCTAATGGGCTTCTCCTTAGACCTTGCAGGGAAGCCCACATCTGTTAATGATGAGAAGTAAGAACAGGAAGAGAAGGAGTGAGGGGGTTGAGATTTGACCCAGCTGGTAGAGTTGAGTGCCATCATCATCATCATCATCATCATCATACAACGGGTTAACACTGTTTGCTTTAACCCACAGGTTACACAGTATTTATTAACAGTACTCAATTATTATTTAATGATAATTAAAAATAATTTATAATTTATTATTATAATTAATTATTCCAGTTTCAATAATTATTTAATATATCTTTCCAAATGGAATGTGTAATAAGATATTTTTAATAAGGTATTTTTAAAAATATTTATTATTATAGTTAATGCATTCTTTATTCAATATTATATTATTTAATGCTATTAAATTTTAATAAATAAATAAATTAATGAATTTGTGCTTAAATTTGAAAGAAAAAGTATGAGTAAATATAAATATATAAAATAAAAGATAATAAAATAAAATAAAATATGAAAGTTTTTCACACTTACGTGGTGATAGTTCACAATAGTAATATTTCCAGAAATCATATTTATTATTTAGAAAATCGTATAATAATCTACTCGAGAAAAATTCATATATAAATTTAAATATATAAATAAAAAGAGTCTTAAAATTAGGAGCAATATAAGTTCGAACATTTGCTAATTAGAAAGCAACAATAACTTTTTGCGATATGAAAATTAAACAAGTTATATTTTATAAATTTTATTTACATTTTGTTTTAATTCATCTTTTGACAAAATAAATAAAAATGAGATTTTACTTATAAGCATGATATATTATACCATTTAAAAAAGGAAAAACTTTGTAATGGAACCTTCTATTTATGCATATATATATATATATATATATATATATATATATATATATATATATATAAAGTTAAATCTAACAAAATTGTATGATTTATTTTACTTTATTGAAATAAAAAAATATAATTAAGAATAATTATGTAAAAAATTAATACAATAGACAATTTAAATTACCTTTTACATGTTTAAACTAAATTTCAATATAGTTACTATAAATTACACTAAAATAAATATAACATTTTAATTGTAATTATTTATTCAAATAAAATTTTAGGCACTTGGTCAATCCCCAAACGTGGATCTACAACTGATAGATCATGATCACGATCATGTGTATAGAAAGTTTGATGTACAAACTTTTGTATTTATAAATTGTTTATTATAAAATCAGTCACAAGTTTCAATCTCAAATTAAAAACACTAAAACTTATTATTGATCTAAAATCAATCCTAAAACAGTCCTAAACTCCAATGAGAAAACCTATTTTCTTTTAAAGATGCTATGGTCAACCATTATCAATCAAGTATAAATTTGATTCTCTCTTATCTATTTTATAAAAAAAATTCTCTCAATTACTCTTGTTTCAAAAACAATAAAACTATTTTTCAAAACACAATAATTTTAAATTAAAATATTTTATTTTTATGCTGGTTATTCAATTCAAATTACATCTAATTTTTTTTAATAAAGTTTCGCTATAATCAACTTATTTCAACTAAATATTCATGTCTAGCTTATCTTTAATTTTTATCTTAATACCTTTGTGTATATAATAATAATAATAATAATAATAATACTAATAAATAAATAAATAAAATTGGGTTATTATCCTTTACTAAAAGGTTGACAAGGGCACATTTCCATATCTTGTCCAATAATGATAGAAAAACATTTTGCATTATCTTGTCTAACTGGAAAATTAATTCAACTTGTATTGTTTCAGTCTGATGAAGTTTGATCGATTAATTTCATTTGTTTTGTTGCATTCATATCATACCTACTTTTCTTAGCTATAATTACGCAAACAAAATTGTGAAGGAGAGATTGTTCCACGTTTGCAGTTATTTTTTGGGTACTTTTTGTTTCTCTTTTTCTAATCACAGTTAGGAACGATAATAGGTGGAGGGTAGATACATATAATAGGTATCACTCTTATGTTATCTGCATATAATTTTATAATTAATATAATAAAAATATATTTAAAAGAAATTTTATTTAAATATAATTATTTTGTGTTTATTTATTTACTTATATCTATTTACTGTTTATACACAAAATTTATTTAAATAAATTTACTTGATATGATGTTTTATTTTTTTCATTTATTTTCTTATTTTTGTCTCTCTTTGTTTATTTATTGTTTTTTCTTTTTTTCTTTCTCTCATTCTTTTCTCATTACATCTTATTATTCACTAAAAAATAATAAATTAAAATTTTATAATATAAGTATATTTTTTTATTACTGAAAAGTAAAAATATTTAAATAATTCAGAAATATTATAATTTAATATATTAATATATTATATTTGAAAAATATTATATGATAAATTTGAGATATTACAAATATTATTATTGTTATGTTGTAATTATTAAGAAAAAAATTAAATATTTATTCTAAAATATTTCTTTAATTATTATTTTTTTAAATTACTAATCTAATGAATTATCATAACTCAAAATTATTATAACTTAATATAATTATTAAATAAAAAATACATTTAATTTATAAATATTTGATATTTTTTTAATTAGATGAATAATTATTTATTATGATAAATAATTTAAATTAATTATTTACGTCATCATAAATAAAATTATTTATTGTTATCATAATTTTAAATAATTAATTAATATTTTTTAGTTTTAATATTATTTTTAAAATATCTATTTTAACATATTTTTATTAATATTAAGAGAATAAATGAAGAAAGAGAAACAAGAAAAATAAGATAAAAAAAGAAAAATGGTAAAGAAAGAAGAAAAATTAGATATAAAAATAGATCTATTTGAATAAATAAATTAATATAGGTTTTATTTAAATCATTCTATAATTTTACTTTATATTTTTTTCATATACTAATTAATAAATATGAGTGAGACGGAAGAGAGATAATATTAACAAATATTATTTTTTATTGAGATGCATAAAATTAATTTATTTCTCTTGAATTTTCATTTTATATTTTTCTTATAAATGAATGGATACTTATTTAAATATTATTTGATTTGGATTTTATTAAAAATAAAATAATTTATGTATGTATTTTTATTTTAAAATATTTTAGTCAATTATAATATAGTTAATTAAATTTTCAATAATATTCTCTGTATATGATCAATTTGGTTTATTTGTTAATAGTTTAAATTTTGTATTTCAGAGCTTTATTTAAAAAAATTCATCCAATAAATAATTTTGCTACCATTGTAATGGCGCAATTCAATAAATAAATAAATATATATATATATATATATATAAATTTTGGGGACAGAATTGATGAGTTCTAAATAACTTTACCTTCATCTCTATTTGTTTTTAAATCTATCATTTTTCATTTACTTAAATTCATTTTCTAATCCAAACAATGCTAGAATAGTTTAGTGATATATGATAATAGATCCAAACCTAATTATTTGTGAACTCTCTATTAATTACATTACTCTTCCTTAATAAAATGACCTACTTACATGGTCACATATTTTGAAATTATTGTATTTATCCCATAAAAAAACTAAAAGTTGGTTTTTATTCCTCATTTTTTTATTAGTATTATGATTAAATAATTAATAATATGTACGTTAGGAATAGAAAAAATAAATAAATTGTGTTTAAATTAAATTTTCACACAATAGTTTAACAAGTTTCCATTTGTTATCAACGAAATAGTCTTTTGATACATTTTTAGAAAAAGACGTGTTAAAAGGTAGTTGACAATTGTATGCTATTTTTGCAGTGTAAACAAATATAATATGCAACATAAATAAAATAATTACATCCAAGAAAAAAATAACAACAATAAATTTAAAACAAAATGGTATAAATAAAATAAAGTTAAAATCAATTACACCTATTCAAATAATATGTATATATACACATATTAAATATATACATAACCCCATATATCTATCTCTATATATATAATATTAAATATACACTATAATAATATATGATAAATTATAAAGTATATATATTAAAAGGGATTGAATTTAAATGAAAAAAATCATACTATTCCATCAATAGGTGAATTTCATCTCTTCCATCCTTTGAATTTGATTTAATCCAGGATTTAATCCAATATAAATTTTAATGTAACGATACTTTGGTTTATAAAAAAAAAACAAGAAAATAGATAACAGAGAAAAATAATCTAAAGATGACTCGCCTTAATAATTCTTATTGGATAATAAAAAATATAATTATATATAAGACAATAATGAAACTGCTAATAACAGAATAAAAAACAGAAACATCTAACATAGACAAATTTGATTTAACTAACTAGAACTCTTCCTCAAACCAAAAAAGATACATCAACTTGTTCTCTTAAGACTTCTGAATCTTTCAAACTTCGAAGCTTTAGTCAAAATACCAACAAGTTATATCTCAAACCTATAATGCTCAACCTCCAGTTTTACATTTGAAACTTGTTCACGAATGAAGTGAAATATGATGTCAATGTGTTTGTTTCTACCATGAGAGGTTGAATGCTTGAAAATATCTATTGCAGATTTGTTATCAATCAGCAGTTTCAATTTACATATCTGTTTGACCTTCAATTTCTTCATCAGTGAACTTAACCAAATTGCTTGACAAGCTATTTCAGAGACAATTATATACTCAGCCTCACAGGATGAGAGAGCCACCATTGGTTCCTTTGTAGCTCCAAGAAATTGGTTTCTTTCTAAGGAAGAATATGTACCCAGTCGTGCTCTTTTTATCACTCTTGTCACCACACTAATCAACATTAGAATACTCCATAAACTCATCATCCCCTTTTTACAGCAAAATTCCCAGATTTTCAATTCCATGTAGGTATCTAAGTATGTGCTTCACAACAAGAAGGTGTGATACTTTTGATTCTTGCATATATATACTCACCAACCCAACACTGAAATTCAAATATAGTCTAATGTTACACAGATACCTCAGGCTTCCAACAATGCTTCAGTACTGTGTACGATTAACCCTCTTCGTCAGGATTTTTCTCAAACTTCAATCTAGTCTGCAGGTGTGTTGGTAGGATTACTTTATTGCATTCCAAATTTCTTCAGCATATCACAAGCATACTTTGTTTGA